GAAGGGTTATCTGCAGGTAGCCTAGGGGCAAGGACTGCTGATCCAGGTGGTTGAAGTCTAGAGTCCTGCCCCTCCTCCTCCAGCCCCGGCTCACCCAGAGCATTTTTGTGGGAGTGAGATGGCCGGGATGATTTGATGGTTTTACCCTCCCACCTGGCTGTGACTCCTGCAGCCCATCTCCCCCAGGGAGGTCTCCGAAATTTTCTGGGGCAGGAACTTGCAGAGCTTGCATGAGGGGCCCTCTTGCATCTTGGGCAGCAGGTGTGGCTGGCCTTGGACATAGGCGTGTACACACACACACACACACACACACACACACACACACACACACACGCGTGCCTTGGGAGGGCTTGTGGAGGGCTCCCTGTCCTTCCTGCATGGGTCCGCGCTGAGGACTGCCACCATTCTAACTCTCAGATGAGATGTGATACTTGGGAGCAGGAAACTTCACACCTCAACCCACTTTATAATTTACAAAACCCTTTTCTGCGAATGCCTGCAAGAACCTTATGGGGGGGTGGTGGATGCTTTCTTGGGAAGCTGAAGAGGTAGGATTGGGCCTAGATCACTCACAGAGGCCCTAAACCCTGGCTCCCAAAGAGGTCACTGTCTACAGGGGGACCCTGATTCCAGAAATGCTAAATGGCTCTTAAGAGTCTTGGACGCTGCAGGAAGGCGCAGCAGAAAAATTCGCAAAGACGAGGTGATGAGCCGGTCCCAGTCGTGTGCCCCTCCCCACCCCACCTCGCATCTAGGTTTCATGAGGATGACCTTGGTGCCTTTGGCTCATCCTAGAACCTGGGGCAGGGGGTTGAGATGGAAAGATTTCTTACATTGCTCCTCTCTTTGCAGCTCTTGGAAGTGGGTGGAGCCGAGCAAATAGGGATGGGCTCCTTTTGGGGGGGTTAAGGGAGCTCCTTTTGGGGGGTTAAGGGAGCATTCCCTACTTGCTGCCCTCACCACCACCCTCCCCAGACTCAGTCTTCACCTACCTCCTCTGATACCTCCTTTGCAGAGGCCAGTCCCTAGGGCCTTAGCTGCCAGGTAGGGGGCCTGGTGTGGCCAATTAGAATTCTGAGGAGGCTAACAGAGCACCTTACCCCAGGCTGTCATTAACGGCTTACCTAACTGCCATGCCTCAGTTCCCTCATCTGTCAGATAGGGGTGGTCATGTCCTCACAAGATTGCTTTGCAGATTGTGTGAGCCGATGTCCAGTAAGAAAGACTTTTGTGAGGTGCCTGGCATGTAGTGACCACTCACCCTGTTGTCATGCTCAGAACAAGAAGCAGGGTCCAGAGTAGGCAGGGAGCCTCAGGACTTGGTGGCCCAGCAGCTCCTGGCCTTGAACTTTAAGACCGAGTCTTATTATTCATTTGCTATAGGACCCTGGACGACCTCCTTTCCCTCTCTGGGTCAGGATTGGTTGATCTCCCGTCCTAGCTGTGTTTGGAGTCTGGAAGAGGGAGGTAGAAGGTAGATTTTTAAGGGCTGTGGGGTTTTCTAGCTGGCGGTTAGCAGCAGACAGAGCTAGCCAAGACCCAGCACCACTTCACATCATTTGTGTTTACAGAGGCCCATCCAGAAAAAAGTCAATTTATTGACTGGAAAGTCCATGTGTGCATTATGCAGCCCTGGGTCTCCGTTGGTCTGTCTCTGTGTCCGTCTCTGTCTCTCTTCCTGCCTGTCTATAAATTACCTTCTAGGATGTAAGTTCACGTTCCCCTGCTCTGTAGGCATCTCTTGCCTCAAAGACTGAGAGCCCTGGATTCTAGGGGCTCAGGAGACTGACTGAAGGAGGAAAGGGATCCCAGCAAGGCTTAAGAGGTCTACAGAGGTCCTAATGGGACTGTTCACTTTCCGGAGTAAGGGAAGCTGATTTACGGGGTAGAAGTGAGGATTCCGGGCACACATTGGACCTAGGAACCCCAGCTCAGCCCTACACTTCACACACATGCCCATTGGTTGCCACTGTCATCATTACCATCGGAAGTAGAAACAACAGGAAACCCATGTTGGGCCTGGGGTCAGGAAAGACTTCCTGGAGGAAGGAAGGCTAGCTCTTGACTGCCCCTTGAAGGGTCAGCAGTTTGGGCTGCGGAGAAGATCAAATGCCGGGAGGGAAGAAGGCCTCTGCAGTTCCACAAGGAAGGATCTGGTTCAGAGTCCTGTCTGATCCAGAAGATTTCCAGGGCCTGGGGTCTCTGCTCAGCCCTGAGGAAAGAGCCCAGGGCTTTGGAGCCAAAAGGATGTGATTGTGCCTCATTCCCGGGCCAGGTAGCTCAGCCTCTTGGTTCTCTAGGTTCCCCAAGACCAACCTGACAGTATGGCCTTCCCTGGTGAGCCATGTGACATAATCTGGCACCGACTGGGGTTCTCTGAAGTCCTTCGCCTTCCCTCCTCCTTTGGGATGAGCTCTGGTGGGGGGATGGGCCTTGCTCTCCTGCATGACTCTGTGGGAGAACGGGGGACCGGAGCCCCCAGTGGCAGCATCTCCCTTGGTGGGAGAGCTGGGGGTGGTAGGGAAGAGGGTGTCTTTTCTGCTTCCGGTAGCCACCCTGCTGCCTGGTAGCTCAGAAGGCATCTTCAGTTCTGATCACCCACTCGTCGGCAATCCCCAGAGGCCCTGGGTGGCGCCCGGAGGCATTACTGGCGTCCAGAGATGGAGCTGAAGCAAAGCAGCTGGGTAATGCTATCAGAGGCGCCTGGCTGCCCAGCCCGGGGCTCCGGCACCTAGCTGGAGATGCAGAGCTTGTAAGAAGTTGAGTCAGAAATGCCAGGAAAGTTGCTCCAAACACCTTCGAGTCATTTTGTGAGACAGACGGGCAGAGGCGGAGCCAGCAGTGATCCCGAGTGGGGTCTTGTCTCGGGGAGTAGTAATCTCAGACCCGCGTCTCCCCTTTTCCTGTCTCGGGGACTGGGAGACAGCCGGGAGGGGTTGAAATGACCAGAAGGTGGGACAGCCATGTAATCACTGTCAGCAGTGATTACTAAGTGGGAGCCTGCTGCGTCTGGTTTTACTCCCTGATATGAACTAGGACCAGCACAGCGTCGTCGTCCTCATTGTCGGGTGCTCAGTAGCTGCAAAGTGAGATAACATGGAAGCCATGTGCAGCCGCCACTGGCTAGGAGGGAGCTCTGACCGGTGCCTGTCTGCCTGGATGAGTCACTGGAGAGCGGGACATGCCTGGTCCTCTGCTCACCGCCTCCCCTCTGCCTTGCCCGAGTCTTCTTTACTTTTACTATCTCTTACTAAGTACTTACCAAGATTGGGTGCTATGTACTCAGTGGCCAGGGCCCTTGGGTAAGAAAGAATTTGTTCGGTAAATCTAATGAAGCCACAAGGAATTAACCAAGTTTTGCGACTAGGTGTCCTGGGTCCCTGCTGTGTGGGGACACATGCTGGGCTGTAAGATGTTTGCATTTGGTCAGGCAGATGACACATACCTGTAACCCCCGTGCTCAGTAGGCAGAGGCAGGCATATCATAAATTCAAGCCCAGTTTGGTCTACGTAGCAATGCCAGCCACCGTCGGGCTGCACAGGGAGACTCTATCTCAGAAATAAACTTGCATCCGATTTGCATGCCCAGTCCCATTGATCATGGCTTGAAGCCGCACAGAGTGCCCCTTGCACGGACATTGGCTCTGCCGCCTGCAGCAGGTGCAGGCTAAGCAGCATGTGGGGAGGCGCAGGGCCAGGGGCTGAGTCCAGGCCCGGCCCCTCCACAGCAACTGCCCCTGGCTTCTTGGCATGCGTGGAGCCTGGTGAGGATAGCAGGTTTGGCTGCAGGGTCAGGCTGCTCCAGGCTGTCCGTGGCACATCCAGCAGTAACATTCAAGAGCATTCCTAGGAGACAATTATCCCCAGGCCCTGGGCTGAGGCAGCAAGATGCCTGGCTCAGCTTCCACCCGCACAGCTGGGTAGCCACTGGCCCTTGCCAGGAGTCACAGGCTGATCTGAACTCCTGGCTGGCAGCTTAGAGCAGCCAGGGCTGCTGTGCACGCCGACCCCTGCTGCGAATTTCATCTGGCCTCACTTTTCCTGGCTTGCCAGTACTTGGTCTGGTCTCCCGGTCTCCCCTCCCCCTCCTCCTCTCTCTCTTCCCCTCCCCCTTCCCTCCTTTCCTTCTCACCCCCCCCTCTTCCCCCCCCCCAGAGAGAGAGAGAGAGAGAGAGAGAGAGAGAGAGAGAGAGAGGAATAAATAGGAAAAAGGAAAAACCTTGGGAGAAATTGGAAGCCTAATTCTAATCTCAGTCCCAAAGCTGATCTGCTGGGTAGCATTAAATAGTTTCTTGCCCCCTCTGTGCTTCCTCTAGTCAAATAAGCAGGGTCTACCCTGGAATCAGAAAACACAGGTTCAAGTCTTGGCTGCATCTCTCTTTTTTTTTTTTTAATTTATTTATTTTTTAAATTACACTCATGATATTCATTAATTACACTCATGATATTAATCACATTTGTGGTATTCATAGATTACATTCGCAGTATTCATTCAGTTATATATATATATTTTAATTTTTAAATGCCTAATGTCATTTCTTGAAGGGAGGAGGAGGTCTTAAATACAGACTTACAGCACAATGGGAGGACCCCGGAGGGCAGAAGTTCGCTACTGATGTTTTACAATCTTGCGTCTAAGCTGTTAATGCCCATTGTTCAGGATACACAGACAAGGAACTTCCCTTAAGCATTTAGGAGGGTGAAACCTGGCAGGGAATTAGCATAGGGAGGATATCAAGGTCAAGGTCCGTAAGCAAGACAACAGTTAACCAAAATGGGGGCCAGGGCCCTACAGGTCCCCCTTTTATTAAAAAATGAGCTTCTGACTTGGGTTGCATGGGACATCAGCAGGTCACCTTACCCGTCATGGAGACACCTGTCCAGGCCACACAGGCGCTCTGTCTTAGGTTGGTGAGTGCCCCCAGGCATTACCCGTCTCTGAATACTCATTATCATACAGGCTCAATCGTGTGTGAGCTGCAGAGTTAACTGCTGCCAAAGATCTCAAAGTGGCACTGGGCTTGCAATCTGTGTGTTAGACACAGAAAAGATCAACAGAGGTCCTATCTCACCCATAGCCAGTAGGCTAAAGGCAACTGTTGGCTGCATCTCTTAAGTGCAATTTCCTGAGCCTGGGGCTCTCCTGTCTGAAAGTGGCGGACCTGGTAGTCTTTGGGAAGATGGAATGGAATAGACTGGACCATTGAAGGGAGGGAGCCTACCCATAACTCTCTGCTCACCTTTCTTCTTCCTAGAAAGTGCTGCTTGACAGGCTGTATTAGACTTAAGGTGGAACGGGTCATCCTGGGGAGTTCTGAGATTCTTTGCAGCCATTTTGGATAAGGCTCAGGTTGGCCCCATGAAGTGACTTGTAGGTTCCAGGGGTTATCAGTGAGAGAGCCTGTGTTATCTGAAGAATTTCCAGGAGCTTAAGAGCTTTGGCTCAAAGGCCAAGTCTCAGTGTGACACACAGATAACAGACCCTCCAGCTGCCTCAGTCCACCTACCAGGAAGAGGAGAAACAAGGGAACAGACTTGGGCAAAGCCAAGCGAGCAAACAGCTCTGCATCTCCCAGAGGCCCATGCTTTGGAAACTGTCATCTGAACCCCCCGCCCCCAGAGGTCTTGATCCAGGGATGGTACTGCCCCAAAAGTTGGATAGCGAGGGGGTTCCCTTCTTGCATGGCTGGAACCTGCCTGCTAGCGAGTGGGCCTTGGCTTCTTGCTGGGCCTGGCTGGGCTGTGACTGCCGATCTGAATGACGAACGTTCGGGCCACTTTCCACACCTCTCCCTGCCCCTGTGCCCTGGCATGTGCCCTGGGCTCATGAGCAGAGGAGACCGGGTGCCATGTCAGGGCAGGTTAGTGTCAGCTCCGGCTTGGATGGCACGGGAGCCAGCGCACCATCTGCTGTGGCCAGTAGAAGTTACATAAGGCCCTGCTGGCCACCCGTTCTTAGAAAACGGTCAGCCAGGCCTGTGGGTTTTTTTTTTTTTTTTTTTTTGGTTTTTTCCAGACAGGGTTTCTCTGTGTAGCTTTTCGCCTTTCCTGGAGCTCACTTGGTAGCCCAGGCTGGCCTCGAACTCACAGAGATCCGCCTGCCTCTGCCTCCCGAGTGCTGGGATTAAAGGCGTGCGCCACCAACGCCCGGCCAGGCCTGTGGGTTTTGTTCCCTTCTGGTCCGCCATGGACAGGACAGGCTGTCCAGAGCCTGAGATAAAGAGGTCAAGCTTTGCAAAGGGCGCTGAGATCGGAAGAATGCATGGTGAGGGTCCTGCCGTGTGGACTCCAGGAGCCTAGTGAACGCACACCTGACTGCTGGCCACCACCTTACCACCCCAAGGCTGAGTCTGTAGGGGGTGACATCGGTCCCCTTCCCCCTTTCCAGCTCTTGGGGTCATCCTGCTTCCTACCTTGAGTCAGATGCAAAGCATTTGTAAATTATCCTAAATCTCAGACAAAGCGTGCATTTTTCTTGGGGGTTCTGGATCCCCAGGATCCTTCAGTTGACAGTTGGCTGCACTTTGTCCAGTTTTCTCATCTGAGATGCGGGTTTAACGTAGCTGCTTTCAAATAGACCTGAAATAAGGGCTGAGTTAGACCATGCACATGGGGGTCGGAGAAAACATCCCATAGTTGTGCTTATGATTACTGTCTAGTTCCACTCTTTTATTTTTTATGTGTGTATGGTGTGTGTACGTGTGTGTGGTATATGGATCTGAGTGCACAGTTGCCGTTTGCAAGCATCCACGCGTGCGTGCATGCGGGGGCCAGAGGAGGATGTCGGATGCTTACCTGTGGAGTGATGGGTGCTGGGTGAACTGAAGGACTTGGAGCTGTCCTCTGAAGTACAGACTCTCTCCTCTGCAGTCACCATGCGACTGGGTCTGGGTAAAGTGCCTCAGACCGGTGGAATGATGGGGCTTTTCCAAAGTCGCAGGCAGCCCTTGGCCATTTAAGTATGGCAGGGAAAGCATGTTTACTAGGGTGTAAGTAGGGGAGCCGTGTTAGCAGCCAGCCACAGGTGCATGCCAACAGCGTCCAGGAGATGCGGGACTGAACAACCTCAGCGTGCCCGTGGAGTGGGCAAGCCAGGGGCCCTAGCGCTAAGGACTGGAAGAGCGTGCTCAAGCCTGAGAATCCTGCTTGGCAGTCGGAGTCAGTGAATACTTTTCACACCTTGATGCTGCCCACTGTGCCCGGGATCCTGGGGCCTTACAGAGGAGGGGGTGTGGCCGAGAGTCTGCCTCTTTTGAGAGGGCCTCTGGCAGCCTCCCCGCTTCCCACCTTGGCCACTGTACCAGAGTGCTTACCCACTGCCAAGACGCCCTGGTGTCTGCTGAAAAAAAAGGAAACCAAACAAAATCCCTGCGTTCTTGGATTGGAGCTCTCTCATGTCACTTCCCGGGACTTCCTTTCCAAAGCTCCTTCTAGGGAATTCTCATGTTTAGGGGCCAGAAAGGGCATTCCTAATGACAGACAGACACACACACACACACACCCCACCCACCAAAGCACATGAGGCTGTCCCCTGGACTTGAACAAGAGCCGGAGTGAGAATCACTCCATGCTGTCCAAGTATGTCCTGAGGCAGAGGTGTGGGGAGATGGTCTGTTGCATTTCTGGTCTGCCCTGGACAGGCCAGGCTGTCCAGAGCCCGAGATAGAGAGGTTGCACGCCTCCCAAGGCTTGTATTTTCACCCTCCCGTGTTTCTCCATGCTTTGTGTGTGTGTGTATTCCTGTGTGTGAAGCTGCATGTGTGTGGGGTGGTCAGAGGACAGCCTGGGGTCTCATTCCCCCGGGACCATCCATCTCTTTTTGAGACAGGTCTCTCATTGGTCTGGATCGCACTTAGTAGATTAATTAGCTGGCTTTAGGAATCCACCTGTGTCTGCACCTCCCCCCCCCCCCCAATGCTGGGATTACAAGGGTGTGCCACCATGCCTGACTTTTTTATACGCGTTTTGGAGGTCAAACTCAAAGCAAGCATTTTGCTGATGGAGCAGGACCCCCCACCCCCCACCCCTAGGCTCAGAGTGGGAAGCTCCTGGTCCCCCAAGTGTCCAGCAGAGCCAAGGCCATACAGACTGGCTTCCAGGCCTTACCCCGAAGGTAGAAATCAGGGATGATTCTTCAGCAAGCCAGCGGCCAAACTAGAAACCGATTTCACTTGTCTGTCCCAGCCTGCTTTTCCTGAGCAGGAACCTCCTGAAGATGCCCGTCTGGCTTCTTCCTGGGTACATGGGTCACCCACTCCAACCCAACTATGTCCCCACTCTCTTTCGTGATGTAACTGAGGAGTGGACAGCTGGGACCTCTGTTTGCTACAAGGGAGACTCCAGATCCCACCAGACTTCTTCAAACTCCATAACCTTATTCTAGTACCATTCTGTCTGAGCTTTGGTGGTTTGGATAGGGTGAGAGGAAAGGCCACCCCGCCCATTCCCTCACAAACTCAGGGAGCCATGGAGGTGCCCTGGATACATCCCAGGCTTGTACCATGGCCAGGACAGGTTGTTTACACAGAGAGCAACCGAGTGACTTGGTGTGGGCTTTTTAGTGGTGAAGACTGAGAAGGCAGCCAGCTAGAGCACAGCGGGGGCCATTGTTCCCTTGACCCTTACAAAGCAGAGATGCCTCAGTTTCCCTACCTGTTAGATGGAGGGTTAGCTTAGTAGACTCCAACCCCTTCCTTCTCTCAGTCCAACACTTTCTAATGTCGCCATACCCCAGTAGCCTGTAGAATTTCCTGAGGGGTAGAGAGGACAGTTGTCATGCCCACTGGCCCCCAGCGTTTCCTGTCCAGCTAGGTGCCATTTGAACATGGCAGGGCACCACCTGGGCCACCCTGTGAATGTGATCGCTGTTGACGGGAGCGTGGGACCCATAGCTCATGGAGAAGAACCCTTGTTTTCACGTGAGGAAACCTGCCCCGGTGTGGAGTATGGGAACCCCAGGTTTGACCTAACTGACTCTTTTTTTTTTTGGTCATATGTCAGCTCAGGTGTCCCCTCTTAGAAGGCTCCGTCGTAACCACCTGTCAGTACTTGCCACCATCTGGAGTTATCATGTGTGTGCACCCAGAAGTTCCCTGCTTTATCAGGCCCCTGGCTTCTCTCTCACTCCACAAGGGCAGGGCTGTGCCCCTCAGGGATGTATCCCAATGCTCGGACCAGTGTCCCACCCCGAGTGGGCCTCCGTGAGCAGATGCTTGCTTAAGTGAATTCTGTGTCGTATGGCAGCATCAGCTAGAGTTTACCCCGAGTTCACACACCTGGCTCTCTCCACCTGCGTTTGCAGACAACGGGAATTGGCAAGACCCCGGGGGAGAGTCTAGTTCTGGGATTCTCCAACCTTAGCTGAAACCGTGGGATCCTGGGGCACCCAGATCCACCCCGAGGTTCTGACTTCTGTGGCTGTAGGCTTGGACCTGGGAGCTGGGATCTGTCAGAGCTCTTTTGTGGTTCTATTGTGCAAAGAAGGTGGAGGGCTGAGATCAGATACGCTCTGTGCTCTCCATCCCATCCAAGTCCTACCTTTTGGGGATGCCTTATGACCTCGGGCTATTTTGTTCCACGTGGCAAACAGTTCCCCGGAGGGGTAACCTCCTTGCCAAACCCTCCTTGGAAAGTGGTACCCTGTCTGTCCCTCCCAGATAAATTGCAAACTGCTGTCCAGGGCCCTGTTGCCCCTCTGGAAGCACTTCTCCGAAACACTGATGGCTCTGGGCCCCAGCACCTCCGGCACCCCCCAGCACCTCCATTTTTCTGGCAAGCCAGCTGAGCTATGTTGGAACCTGTCTCTTCTCCTCCCCTGATAACATGCAGTTTAAATAAGATCTTCATTTACCAGAAGTTCACACCACAGCTCATGTGTTATATGAGAAGCAGCAATCTCACGTTTGTCGGGGAGTGCTGTTCAGAGACTCGATGGAGGAGGAGGAGGGGCCGGGAGGAGAAGCCATCACAGAGCCGGGTATGTGAGGAAGGAAGGACTCATGGAATCCGAGCTGGCAGCCCAGCCCCAGCCCTGGCAGTGCCAGGCTCCACTTGGCTCAGCGTGTGGCTGCTGGGGGAGGTGCCATGGCTCTCTGAGCTGACCTCAGGCTGCTGGAAGGCTTGGAGCCGGATGGGCGCATGATGTCACCACCACTTCCGCCAGTTGGCACTCCCAGGGATGCACTGGGTCATTTACATGTCTTCAGTCAGTTAGGAAGGGACTCTTGGTGAGGATTTATTGGTCGCCTCTGCCTTCTCTAGAAGCCTTTGTAAGAAACCTAATAAGGAAGGCACTTGGCGACCATGGACAGACATAAGCCCCCATCCCGGGTCTCTTAGCACATCCCAGGCCACAGAGAAATGAATAAGCAAATTCTTCTTGCAGGGTACCTTCCAGTTTCCTGTAATCCCCAGCCAGGGTATGAGGTGGGTGGCATGACCCTGCTTATGCAGAGGAGGGAACTGAGGGACTAGGAGTTTGAGCACCTTGGAGGCCAGGCTGTGTAGTCTTGCATTAGGATTTGGGCTAGCTCCGCCTACACCTAGCCTGGGCTGACAGGCAGGTCGCATCCAGACCACATCTCTGAATGTGGTCCGGAATCTTTTCTCTCCCAGAGCATTAGCTGATGACCAGTATGTTTTGTGACCTTGAGCTAGGATGATGCCTCAGTTTCCCCCAAAGTAAACCAAGACCTGGCTTTTGTTTTCTTTCAGGAAAGTAAGGCCTGAGGCTTTCCTTGCAGGTTTTCAAGTACGTTCCACCCTAAGGAGATGGGGGAAGAGGGTCCTGTGGTCCACCCCATCACAGGGTCCGCAGTACAGGCTGATGCGCCTGTAATAAATATCGAGCTGACAGCTGTTAAGCCCCGTCCCCAACCTCTGAATAAATAAAAAGCTGCCTAGAATAACAGCCCGCAAAATGCTGGAGATTCCTGCTAGCTCTCTCCATGTCCCTTCCACTGGCCAAACCTGTTTGCCTGGGCTCCCACCCACTCCCATTGTCTCACCTCCCCCGCGACTCCCCAGGCCTCTGTCCATCACTTCAACCCCCAGGGTTGAAGCCACCGCCCCGTCCTGGCTCCTTCAGCGGCCAGAGCAGCTAATGGGGACGAAGCTCTGCAGCTGACAGGGACAGTCCCGCCAGACCCTCCTGGGGCTGGGGGAGGGGCACAGAGGAGATGCCCCTCCAGCTCAGCCACCTGTAGTCTCCAGCTACTGCCCCTGGCTGAGGTCACCAGGAAGTTGGGACCGGGGCTCACAGGGGGGCACAGTTGGATGTTCTGTGAACGATGCGTGTGAGTTATCTGTGTCCACAGGCTTTCTTGTTAGTTAGTTTTGGTTCTCGGGGGGGGGGGGGGGGGGGGGCTGTTGGGTCCAGTATAGAGCCATGGAACGTTAGCGCTGGAAAGCCCATTTTATAGCTAAGGATGCTGACGCCTCCGGCAGTGGGTGCTTCAGATTGCCTGCTCCAGGTTCACAGTGGTAGATCCTGGATGTGTTCGGGGACCTGGGGCCTGTGCGCTTGACCCTGTCACAGAGAAAAGGCCAGGGAATCGACCACAGGGAAATAGTGCCCACCAGAAACCGGCCTTCCACTCTGGAGCCGGCTGCAGCTGGGGTTTCACTGACAGTGTTCTCCGTGGCCTTCTTGGGGCTGCTGGGTCCTGCCTTCATGTGATGTTTTCTTCATGCCAAGTGTGTGTGTGTGTGTGTGTGTGTGTGTGTGTGTGTGTGTGTGTGTGTGTGCGCGCGCGCGCACACGCGCGCGCGCACCCCCCCTCGGGGAAGTGGGTGAATGTCCTAGAATGCAGAGCAGGACCTGCGTGTGTGGTGTTTCTGGGGGTACAGGAGTACAGGTAGTCAGAGGACCCAGCTAGTCTTGTGACTCCCGACAGCCCTGCCAGTTAGGGACCTGCTGGGTCGGGGTGTTCTTCCTGGGAACCTTGGTCCCTCTCCCTTCTCGGTTGGGGGAGGTGAGAATTTAGAGCTAGGAGAGGTTCCAGGATGTGGCATCTAGTCCTTTCCGGGTAGGCCGCATTCCTGCCTGTCTGCGCCAGAAAGCCCCCCCACGTCTGTCCCCTAGGACCCAGGCAGGTCCCCTCTGCCCTCCTCCCAGGCTGCAGATGCAGATGCGGCCTCCTACAGGCCTCCTGCACCACTGCGCTGCCTCTGACATTCCGCCCCAGCAGATAAGGATCCTGTCTGGCGCCTGGGTGCTTTTTTTTTTCCTCCCTCTTTCCAAATCTGTCCCCTGATTATCTGCAGACAGCCCCTCTCCAGGGGGCCACCAGGGACTGTGCTGAGAGCTCAGAGCCACCCCCACCCCCACCCCCCACCCCTGCCTCCCAGGCCCCCAGCCATCTTTGTTTTTTTGCTAAGCTCCCCGGGAGGTTTAGCCCCAAGCCAAGCTAGGGCTGGTGTCCTAAGGGTAGGACTGACTGGCTGACTGGCTTGCATGGGGGGAGAAATGGACACGCGGACATGGAGGCTGGGCCACCGCAGGCCAAGATGGAGGCTGAGGGTGGGGTCGCTTCCGTGGTCAAGCACTCATCAGCATTGGGCCTGGACAGTGCCCAGAGGGGATGTGGTAGAGATTGCAGCCAGCCAGACACCCACATCCTGTGGGAGCAGCTGGCCTGGGAAGGGCTCAGGACACTTGGGAATGGGGAGAAGGAATGCCAGAGGGCTCTTAGAGCCCAGCCAGAGACTCTGGGGAGTGGTCTCCCAAGATAAATGCCCTGGCTTCTGGCTTAGAAGCCCAGCCTTAGAGGCCCTCTCCCCACCCCCCCATCCTCCCTCCTCAGAGCTTCTGGTGGACTCCACAGGCAGTCTATGATAGCGTGATCTGTTTAGGACCAGAAGGGAGCACCAAGCCCATCGGCAGGCCTGCAGTCTGCTCCTCTGTCTCTGGGTACCAGCATCCCAGCCCCTGCCTCACTGGGAGGTGAGCCCTCTGCTCTGGCCCACGTCTTGTCCCTGATGCCCTCCGTGATTTGGGGGCAAGCTCCTTTAAGGTCTCCTGTTTCTGCTATAAACTGAGGATGCCTTCTGGTAGGGACAGGAGGGAACAGACACCACTTTCCCATACCCTTCCAGCGTCACTCTGGCCTGGTGTAGATTCCCATAATTATGAGTCCAGCCTATATGATACAGCTCAGGCCAGGAACCCCAGTACAGGGTAGATAGAGCCTATGAGGAGGCAAAGACCATTCCACCTAGCACTCCATGCTTGCGCAGGCTTTGCTCAAGACTCCCCACCTTCCCTGCCCCCAGCCTCCCTACCAACTCCCTCCCTAGTCCCTAAAATACCCGCTGGGGGAGGGGGAAGCTCAGCGAGCTCATCTTTTATGGCTTCCTGGACCTGCAGCCAGAAGGCTGAGAATCTAGCGGCATGGGCTGGGTTCCTCCTGAGCGCCACCCCCACCCCCCACCCCCCCACCCCCAGCCTCTCAGCTCATAAATATACAGTCTAGGGCTATAGAAGGAGCTAGCTGCCCTTAAGCCGACAGCAGAGCACCCACTTAGTAACGTGCCTCGTGGGAGCTTCTGGGAGCCGGGTCTCCCACCCCACCTTGATTAGCCTCAGCCATGGCCGCTTGGCTTGCCTGCTCTGGGTCTCCCGGCCCACACTGCTGCTTGAACATCCCACTAGATTGGTTTTGGCATCTGTGCAAAGGAAGACTGCTTATCTCCTTTGGGGAGATGAATGGGGAGGTCCAGGTCCAAGGGTCCCTGGAGTTTGAGGCTCCAGAAGACCCCAGAGCTGTTTGTGTTCTTGACAATTACAAAGCCCCTGTTTTCATTATATTTTTTCTGTGCCCAGACTACCCAAACCACATCCCAAGGAGCTCCCAGAATTCATTTCACTTATGCTAAGAGAAAGTGTCTATTTATTGCTGGGCAGTCAGTGGTGGCACACACCTTTAATCCCAGTACTCAGGAGGCAGAGGTAGGGTGGATCTCAGAGTTCGAAGCCAGCCTGGTCTACAGAGTTCCAGGACAGCCAGGACTACACAGAGAAACTATTTCAGAGGTGTGTGTGTGTGTGGGGGGGAGAGCGACTCACACACACACACACACACACACACACACACACACACTCACACACACACATATACACGGAGCACATCTAGATGGAGTTTGAATCTTGGTATAGCAGCTCAGGAGTTGGGGTCTTTATAGCCCAGGCCTGAAGGGAACAGGGGGAGGGATATTTGGATGTGGGTTGGGGCTCCAGGACTGTCTGAGTTAGGGGAAGTGGGAATGGGTGTGTTCAGGCTGATAGAGGGAACTGCTGAGAGTGACGGAAAGCCAGGAGCCCAGTGTGGAATGAACAGTAGAGGCTGGAGAGCCAGGAATTGGTCCCTTTGGGTGTGAGCAGAGGCCCCTCTTTTTATTTGTCAGTCACTAAGACCTGGGATTATAGGAACAGGCTCTGACACCTGACTGGCTTCAAGTTGCCCTTCCCATCTCTCGGTCTTTAGGACAAGTCACTGAGCCCGCCTGAGCCTCATTTTCAACCACACAATGGAATCCAGAGCGTTCTGCCTTGTAACATTGCCACGGAGTTCAGTCCTTCGTTCAGAGAGCCCTCGGG